ATTACTGAGACATGCATAGAGAATGAGAAATAGAGGGGAATGGTACAGGCTAATCTCTTCATCAATCGAGCTATTCTTCCATTTCTCCCATTCTACTCAATTGATTTCAGTAGTACATACACACACACGCACACACTCACTTATGCTCCTCTCCCACTCACTCACTCACTGATTTCAAGTATGAAATCATTTCTTCCATCTCTTAAATAAAAACGTATGCACATCTTAGAATTTTAAATTTACCTAAGCAGAAACTACATAAAATAAGTCATTTCCTTGTTTTTTTATTCTTCTGGGTTTTTTCTTTTCTTGTCTTTAAATTTGTTTGTCAGTTTGTTCTGTCAATTGGTATTCATGTGACTCTGAGTGTGTGTGTGTGTGTGTGTGCGTCTGCCAGTGTGTACCTCCTATTTGTGTTTGCCAAGTTTCGTGTATTGATTAGTAGTTTTTTTTGCATTGGGAATAGGTGGAATGATTTTAGTATGTGTCTGTGCGTGTGTGTGGTGTGTGATTCTTTTCGTTAGATGAAAAGATTTTTACACATATTTTATCACAATTTGATAACGACAACCATTAAAACTGAGGCATCTACCACCATGTGGGTTACTCATTAACATTCACCTTATGAAATAATTTTTATTACTGAAGTGATGAGGAATCAATAATCATTGTTAGACTGGCATTAGAAACTTGGAAGCCCACTGGATGGCCATTTCACCCTGGTAGTATGAGACTACTAATCAGCTGTGCGCATCTACGACTCCTGCTACTCGCAGGATTCGAACCGAGGACCTTCGGTTTCGCACGCGAACGTCTAACCACCCACAACCCAGTCGGGTGTGGGCAGATTTATCAGAGTTAGACATGAACACGGTTGGATGCTGGCTCAATGATCGAAAGGTTAGGCATTCACGCGTAAGACCGATGGTCCTGTGTTTGTATCCTACGAGTGACAGAAGTCACGGATGTGAGTCCCATTCCATGATCGGGGTGGTCTAACAATGGTTGGTTCATGATTTCAGTAACTAATTACAATCTCCATGCCTCTTTGTTGAAAAATAGTAATTATTTTAATGAGGTAATCATGATCCGTGAGAGTGTAAACCAGTTACTACCAGCGGTATTAAAAGATATTTTCATTGGTCTAATAGTTAAGGGTTCGCTGAGAAATTGATGGAAATCGTCGATGTGTACTACTGTACTGAGAAATCGTGTTGTACTAGGATGAGAACGGGATACTACTCCTAACTCTCAGGTCTCATCATATATATGGTCGAAAAATGAAAATTTCGGACATGAGATAGAGAGTATTAGAAGTGTTTGGGCCTGTTTGCATCAAGCTGAGCTGCTTTTTCTACTATCCTGCGCCATATATGTGTATACCAAATGCTATGTGCTATATAGAGCTGAAGGTTTCCTATGAGACCAGAGGTTCGTTGTGAATATTGTGGATGGCTTGGCTTTGCTTTGGTAAGCGTCGCTAACAGTTTATATACAAAATTGGTTAGCAGGGTGACTGATTTTATTGATACTAGTAGTTGTCTTGCAACTGTCGTGAGTGCCATTGTCATTGAAGTGCTGTATTACTTCATATCACCATTACTAATAATCATGAGTTTGACAGTTATATGTAAGCGGAATGGGTTGAATTAGCCTGTTCATGCGGTGCATAGATCAGAAATAATCACTATATATGTACAAGTGTATATAAATGGTGTGAATGGTCCACTAGAGGGTGTCAAGTACCTGAGTGGTGGTTGCACCACGGAATTAAGCTGAACTATTCTTGTCGAACTGCTAACACGTGCACAGTCTCCTTGACTATCGCCTTCACATCTATATTAGATCCACCTTTCTGCCTAGTTATGTAAAGGTTTTTAAATTTTCTAAAGCTTCTTTTTCAAGTGTGATTTGGTTGGTCTGAGTTGTGTTGTATCGAAGAATCCTCCTTCGCCCCCTTGTGTATGTTGAGACGTACTGCGGTTGAGGTTGTTGCTACACTAATTGATTTGTCCTACAATATTACCTATTGGCTGATTGATTATCGAACTTGACGAAGGGAGTATAAAAATAAACAATATTTATGTCATATATATATATACACCTAGTCTTCAATTATGCATTCACGTTTTGTATATTTCACAACCCAACGTAATCTTAGAATTTCTTCTCTCACTTGTAATCTTTAAAATATTCTCGAATACACTATGCCTTTTTGACCTAATCAAACTCTTGTCTTTTGAATGTCGTGTATGTAGCCCAACTACAAACAACATTTCACTACATATTATCTGTTGAACAATCTTGTAAGTTGTATCCTCTACGTACGTACATCAGTTCAAGTTGCCAAAACACATCCCCATAATAGTAGAGCTGGTAGTAGAATTATTAGCAGTAATCGGAGAGATTAGGATTCGAAGAAACTATTTAAGAAGTATAATTCAGTGAGATATATTTATAAAGAATGAATACACCTGTATCATTGCAAACGATTTTGAAACATGTCATTCAAGATATCCGTTTGCTGATTAAAGGACCAGTGTACTGTACAGCAGGTCACTCCGTCTTACTTTATAGCTGTGAAACATGGCCAGTGAGAGTAGAAGATATTTGTAGGCTACTGATTTTCGATCATAGAGGTCTTCGAAGTATTGCTCGTATATCCTGGGACACCCGAGTGAACAACGCTGTTGTTAGGAAACGGGTGCTAGGTAAGAATGGCAGATCAGTAGATGAAGTGCTGAAACTTTATCAGTTGAGGTGGTTTGGACATGGGTTACGACACATGCCTAACCGCCGACTGCCTCGACGAGCTTTGTTTTGTAGTGTAGGAATAGGTAGGAAGAAAGTTAGGGGTGTCCAGACCAAAACATGGCACAAGTCCATGAAGTCACCGACAAGTAGACTGAGTCATGTCGGTAGTTATCGACTACCGGGTTGGGGTCTGCGAGATGTTAGTAATCGATGGTTAGAGACCCTGAATGACATTGCTCAAAACCGTTTGCAATGACGCCGGTGCATTTATTCTTTGTGTTCTCTCAAATCCTAATCTTCTGGATTCTTCAACCCCCCCCTAGTTTTGACTTTCTAAACTTTTCTCACTGAATCATACTTCTTGAATAATATCTTCTAATCCTAACCTCTCCGATTAATTCTAATACCTTTACTACCTCTTCTACTATTGGATTTGAATTGACAATTACATTTGTCTGTGCTGATGTAGTATGGCTAGATGAACTGACGTACTTACTATGTACGAAGTGCTACGTTGTATCGGACTGACTGACTGAATGCAGATGAGGTAGACTAAAGAACACATTACGCAGAGCATCGGAAACAGACATGAAAAGAATGAACAGCGATTGGGTAAAATTTGCAAAGGAGGGACCCAGACAGAGTAGGCTGGAGAAAAGTTGTCGGACTGACTGACTGACTGAAATTCAAGATCTCTAACCATCGATGACTTTCCGCTCTACAGCTGCTGGAGTTCAATGTCTTTTCTCTATTTTTCCCGCTCAAATATTAATCAATTGTTGTTTTTGTACAGTGTATTCTAAATAATAATTTCCCTCTTCTTATCTTTTTATTATCAATAGGAAAGATGAAACAATTTCAAAACCACATAAATTATATGAACCAAAACGTATTACTGGCACGTTGAATCATCATGATATATCAGGTAGTAAAAGTCCATTAAATAGTAGTACTTTAAATACTCCAACTAAAAATGGTCCAAATCCTCATACAACAAAAGCTACACCTGGTAAGTTTTATATATATTTCTTATAACTTGTTATGCGTACGTACATATATCTGCATTGCGGGGTTGAAGATTGTTAAGTTACACATTTTTTGAAACCATGAATCGATCAATGTTAGACTACAACCATTAGAAACCTGGAAAGCACTGAAAGATGGCCGTTTTTCCTGGTATGGGACTACTCATCAGTGGCAGTGCGCATCCACGACTCCTGCACGCTCCGCAGGATTCGAACCCAGGACCTTCGTTATTGTGCGCGAACGCCCTAACTGTTAGACCACTGAGCCCCGGTATCTAACGGTGTTCATGTCTAACTTGATCAACAAATTCACGGAGTTGCGCAACCTGTATACCCTGTATACATCCGAACAGGTTTGAACATCACTGGTCACGACATCTTCCCACTAGAACCCGGCGAGGAGATTCCTCACGAAGCTAATCACTAGTAGTGGACACATGTAATTGCATTGCGAGGTTGTTGTGAAGATTGTTAAGTTTTATTTGTAACCATGATGAGTAGTCCCATACCAGGACGAAACGGCCGTCCTTCAGTGCTTCCAGGTTTCTAATGGTTGTGGTCTAACATTGATCGATTCATGGTTACAAATATATATATATATATATCTGTTGAATGATTCGTTATGGTTCTACAGAAATATAACGTCGATAACTCAATGTGACCCAACTTTCCTTGTCTATTTGATATGCTGCTGGAAACTATGACGAGTTCACTTTAATTGGTAAACGAGAGCGAAGACAAATGATACACTAACATGATGTGCTATACTGATTCGATTGTCTCCGTGACCTGCTAACTATAGGAAGAAGACTTGATATTGTTTAGAAAGTGTATTCTACAAGCACCCAGAATAACACGAGGTTCACAAGCACACAAATCGAGTTTATTTTTTCATGATAGAAACGTCCTTGGTGAGAGCCACAAAAATAGCGAACTAAAATAAATACATCAACCAATGACAGTCAAGGACGTTCCGTTTGGGGAATGTAATCTCAAGGTCACCTGACCAACTCATGCGCGAAAACGCAAAAAAAATCCGAAATTAGGACCTTTTCCAAGTGAGTTCAGGGGATCTAACGTTCCCATCACTATCTGAGCTTGGGACCACTAACAGTAACCCTAAAAGGGCTCCAGGTTGAGTTTTGATATATATATGCTTATGTAAAGATTTTCATTTACATTCGCCAGTATCTGACAAGTTTTAGTGGAGGTTATCTCCTCTCTGTGGTGTGTATGACAAATAACTCATTGATATGTTTTAATCTCAGTGTTAACATCAACACTGACATGTTATGAAACTAGAGGTGTACATTTCTTTTACAAGTTTTGAATGTGGCAAGATTTATGTCCTAGATAACATTCTTGACCGTAGATGCTACCTTGATGTGGTGGTCGGACTTGCCTATCGTGATGACCCAACCTAACTATATTGGCTGGAACATATGTTTCTGTAAGTTATACCATGCTAGGCAGGTCGATTCGAGAACGTTGAGACTAGAAGCAGCAACTTAAGGTCTGAGGATGAAATCGTACTGCTGACTGTAGAGAGGTGTGACAGAAGTAAGGTGTTTCCCTCGGACCACCAGCATCTGTAGCGATGCTACCTTCTCACAAGGAAGGAAGGAGTTAAAAAAGGTCGACCCTAAAAATGTCACACCTCACGTTATCTCATGGATTTCCTTCTCCGGTAGTAAGGGCTTTTAAACAAGAACAGAGCTAATACTCGACAAACCGCTCATAAAAAGGCCGTGCGTGACCCTCCTCATGCAGTTGTTCCCTGTGCTCTGCGATCACGCCCCCAGGTCTCTAAGACCAACACTAATCTACCTCCCTTTTCAGGTTCCTCAAGAAACAACATTCCACGATGTGGGCAGCCGAAAGGTGACATCCGCCCTCATACTCGTAACAGCACATGAGACCGAATCGGTCGTAGTCAGATCCTAGATTCCACTGTTGTTAATTCTAAACTGAAGGAGAACGGATTTGATTGTGACTAATATGATCTCGTGTGTTGTTACGAGTGTGAGTGCAGACGTCAATTTTTATGGAATCTTCTGGAAGTGTTGGCTTTGCTCTTCAAAAAGTTTTACCGTGGGAGCCGGAATAAGCTGAAAGTATACCAGTTCGATAGTCAACCTCTTCTGACTTCTTCCTTCCGTTGATAGAAGGCAGCATCGTTACAGATGGTGGTTGTCCTAGGTAAACACATTACTGCTGTCACACCTCTTTACAATCAGAGGTCTGACTTCACCCTTGAACCTATCTTGAGTTTCTGCTGCTTTTAGTGTTACTGTTCTCGACCTGCCTATCATGGTAGGATTTGAACGAACATGTGTTCCAGTCGATATAGCTTGATTGGGCCATCACGATAGGCAATCCCGACCACCACGTCCAAGGTAACCCTGTATTATAACTTCTTGAATCAGATCTTCAAACCTTAATCTTCTCCATTATCTCTAACACTTCTACTACCTCTACTATTATGGAAATTCGAATTGACAATTTGATATTTCTGTGTTCTATCGCGGTATAGTAGCAACTGATGTACATACACGTACAAAGTTCTACTCTGTAGCTCACTGACTGAATGACTAACTGATGATGACATAGTGTAGTGTTCTCACACAGGTGAGAGCAACCGAATTGTATTTAACGAAAATTACAGAGTTACTCAGTAAAATTCGAAAACCATAACGTAAATCGTTCATTTGCAAAATATCAGTCCATCATATCGAACTGGACTGTTCCTGTTGCAAAACATCAACAATCCATTGTCACTATTCATGCGTTTCATACAAATTCCATTGTGTTCTTCTAACTCTTCCTTTCTTGATCTTCCCCCATCTTCTGCTGCCAGACATTACGTTGACACTCACGTCATATACTACTTATAAGTAGCTCACACCACAATAGTTTAACTCTTGACTATGGTTCATAAACCGACCATTTTCCTCTTTTAAATATCACAACTTAGAAACACCATCTAAAGGTGAATTCATGTTAATGCTACTCAATTCTAAGTTTGTTTGATTGTATTTTCTGACTGACTTTCTCTCTGTCTCTTTTCAAGATCTCAATCTATAGATTGATTCTGTTTATTTTTATCAACTATTTTCCTTATGAAAAACTAAAGAAACGATGAAGTAATGAAAAATATTTGCCCAACAAAAAAATCAATCCCAACGGTTTATTGATTTTGTTTCTTCCTCTTATAAAACTTCGTATAACAATAATAGTAATCTATTTAGAGTAGTTGTTGTAGAGAGATGCAATTGACTGAGAGCCAATAAAAATTCTCTATCTCCCTTCCCTCTTAGACTCCTCCTCTGCCTCTGCTTCTGCTTTCTCTCCCTTTTTTACGCTTCAAATGTTATGCCTTTCTATCTATCCATTTGATGACAATGTAATCTGGATGAGGATTGGTCAGTTAGTTAGTTAGTTAGTTAGTAGTAGTAGTAGTAGTATTTGACTATTGAGAAATAGTTGAAGAAAAAAAGAAATATTTGAAGAGCATGATTGTCTCATACTGCTTCTACTTCGTTTATAGGTCTCTCTCTATCTATCTCTCTCTCTGTGTTCAATTTTGATTCTTGACATATTGATTGATTGGTCACTTGTATTATTTATTGTATGTTGGCGGTTACTGTATGAATGAATGAGAGTTTTGATGTCAGCTTCAACTAATCTGCTTCACTTGTTATTATATACTCTTTTCAATCTTGATGTGTGACCTGGTGTGTGTGTGTGTGTGATGGTATTCCGGTATGGATACAGAAAAGACTTAACTGGCTTTTGTCAATTTACATCACTTTTAGCGTAGGATGAGTCTATAGTATGAAATATGATCACTAAGCATAGAGGATATTCGTGGATTAGTGAGTCGGTCAGTCAGATGCAACGTAGAACTTTGTACATAAGTACATCAGTTCATGTTGCCATACCACATCAGCACAGAGATGTAATTGTCAATTCAAATCCAATAGTAGAAGAGGTAGTAAAGGTATTAGAAGTAATCGGAGAGGTTAGGATTAGAAGATATTATTCAAGAAGTATGATTCCGTGAGAAAAGTTTAGAGAGTCGAAACTAGAGGGGTTGAAGAATCCAGAAGACTAGCATTTGAGAGAACATAGAGAATAAATGCACCGGCGCCATTGCGAACGATTTTGAGCCATGTCGTTCAAGGTCTCTAACCATCGATTATTATCATCTCGCGGACCCTTAACCAGGTAGTCGACACCTACCAGCTTGGCTCAGTCCACTTTTCAATGACTTCATGGATTATGTGCCATGTTTTGGTCTGGCCACCCCTAACTTTCTTCCAACCTACTCCTACACTAGAAAACAAAGCTCTTCGAGGCAGTCGGTGGTTGGATGGGTTCCCAAATACTTTGGGACGGTCGATAATGAAGAGAATACACTCTCTCTCTCTCCCTAGAAATGTTCTCATATGGCCGCCGCGAGAAAAGTTCTACTCTCACTGCCTTCTCATAGCAACGGTGTTATTTGCGGAACTTAGAGAACGAAAACAGGCGTCCAGCATTTTAAGATGAATATCGGCTATGCAGATGTTAGGATATTCATCAAATATCCTAAAGAAATTATTTCTATTGGTCAATATTTAAGGTCGTCCTAAACTATCAAGTTCACCACATACTCTTTAAATGTTGTTTCCTATTGGTGATTAGTATTTACGGTCAACCTAACTATGCATTGTCAGCTTCAACTACTCTGCTTCACTTATTATACTCTTATCAATCTTGATGTGTGGCCTGGTGTGGGTGTGTGTGTGATGGTATTCCGGCATGGATACAGAGAAGACTTAACTGGCTTTTG